TGTCGAGATCTCCATCTGAGATTTGAAGCTTCCTCGGGTTGGCAGGTTACTATCGGAGAGTCAGCGGAGACTTCTCCAAGATTGTTGTTCCTCTCACCAAGTTGACAAGGAAGGATGTAGCTTTTAGTTGGGGGCCTGAGCAGCAAGCATCATTTAAGACTCTTTGCCAGAGATTGTGTGAGGCACCAGTACTTGCCCTCCCTGAGGGAGTTGAGGACTTTGTGGTCTACTATTATGCATCCATTGCAGGATTGGGTGATGTGTTGATGCAGAGAGGGCATGTGATAGCTTATGCTTCGAGGCAACTGAAGCCTCACGAAGCGAGATATCCCACTAATGATCTGGAGTTGGGGGCGGTGGTTTTCACCCTCAAGATTTGGCGCCACTATATCTATGGTGTTCGGTATACCATCTACACCGACCATAAGAGTCTGAGATACCTTATGGATCAGCCTATCTTGAATATGAGGCAAAGGAGGTGATTGGATGTAGTGAAAGAGTATAACTGCGAGATCTTGTATCATCTGGGCAAGGCCAATGTGGTGGCTGATGCCTTGAGCCGAAGGGCGGCAAGTACCCGAATCTGGGATGTGTGAATGAGGATGACCGTGATGACTCTAGTTTTATAGATCATTAAGGAGGCACAGTCGGAGGCCATAAAAGAGGAAAATCGAAAAATTGAGCGGCTGATCGGTCAGATTTCGGTATTTGATATTGATAGTCGAGGGATTTTGACTCTTCATGGGCGGGTATGGGTATTGTATGTGGGCGGACCCCGACGGATTTTGATGGAGGAGGCCTACAAGTCGAGATTTTCCATTCACCCAGGGGCCACCAAGATGTATCTCGAATTGAAGGATAGTTATTGGTGGCCATGCATGAAAAGAGATGTGGCATGGTTTGTGGAGTGATTTTTGAGCTTCCGGAAGGTCAAGGCTGAGCACTAGCGCCCTCACGGCAAGTTGCAGCCTCTGGAGGTTCCCCTATGGAAGTGGAAACAAATTACTATGGATTTCATTACAAAGCTACCAAGGATTGCAAGGGGTGTCGACACTATCTGGGTGATAGTGGATCGTTTGACGAAGAGTGCTCACTTCTTAGCCGTTAGTGAGAACTCTTCTACAAAGAAATTGGCTGAGATTTACGTTCGAGGGGTGGTAGCTCGGCATGGGGTGCCAACGTCTATTGTTTCTGACCGGGATGTGCGCTTTACTTCCAGATTCTGGAAGAGATTTCAAGAGGAGTTGGGTACCCGGCTACACTTCAGTACCGCGTACCATCCGCATACGGACGGGAAGAGCGAGCGGACGATTCAGACGCTCGAGGATATGTTGTGTGCTTGTGTTATTGATTTTGGTGGGATTTGGTACTCTTATCTTCGGTTGGCTGAGTTCTCGTATAACAACAGCCATCATGCCAGTATCGCTATGCCCTCGTTCGAGCTTCTTTATAGCCGGAGATGTCGGACTCCTATTTGTTGGGGAGAGGTAGGGCGGAGGGTCATGGGGAGCACAAAGGTCGTGCTCAAGACGACTGAGCTTATACAACAAGTTCGACATAGATTATATACAATGCAGAGTCGCCAGAAGAGTTATGTGGATTGGCGACACTCTGAGTTAGAGTTTCAAGTGGGAGATCTAGTGATCCTGAAGGTGTCACCCTAGATGGGTGTTATCCGCTTCAGGAAGCAGGGCAAGCTGGGCCCCAGGTTCGTTGGCCTTTTTTGAGTTTTTGCCCGTGTGGGCAAGGTGGCCTACCGGTTAGAGCTGACGGAGGAGCTGAGGCAGATTCATGATATCTTCCACGTTTCCCAACTGAGGAAGTGTATAACCGATGAGACAGCTGGGTTCCTTTGGAGAACATTCAGGTCGATGATCGCCTGAATTATGTGGAGAAGCTTGTAGCCATTTTGGTTCGGAAAGTGAAAACCTTGAGGAACAAGGTTGTGAACTTTGTCAAAGTTCAGTGGCAACACCGTGGAGGTTCGGAGTGGACGTGGGAACCTGAGTCCGAGATGCGTGAGCAATACCCTGAGTTGTTTCTAGAGGATGACTTCGAGGGTGAAGTCTGATTTTAGTGGGGGAAAATTGTAACATCCTGAATAAGGTACATTTTATCATTCTTGAATCTTTATCAAAAGTGTCACATTTGGTCCCTCATAGAAAAAGGCTTGAAAAAGTGGTTGTACGTGGGGCGTACACATGAGTACGCACAACGTACTCATGCAGCATGCATGGACAAGGATGGCCAGCTAGTACGTTGGGCATACATGTGGTACGTTGGGCGTACTAGCTCAGATGTTAAACCCTAATATTTAGGGTTGCCCCTATTTAAAGAACATCATGACTTCATTTTTGGCCACCCTTATCAGCCTCCAACCCTCTCAAAAACCCTAATCTCGTGTGAGTTGCTTGTGTGTGTATGTTATTGCAAGTTTTAAGTGTCCTTGGCTCTTGTAGTAGAAGAATGAGGTTGGAGAAGAAGAAGAAGGTACTAGCAAGCTTGAAGATCCAGAAACTTTCCCTCTTTGTACATCATTTTCAGGTATAAAGTCTATACCTTGACAAGTGTTCTTCTAGATCTCTCTGGTTTAAGATTTATGAGCTAAAAGTCCCCAAGTTTGGACCTTTATGATTTTAGGACTCTCCAAAGGGTTTAAGTTGTCCTTTCATGCATATTAGGACATTTAGATTCATAAAATGCTTGTTTGATCTTCCCCTTTGGCTCATGCATGAGTAAAGTAAGTTAGAATGGATGAAATGATGCTTTGAGCCTTTCATTGCCATGCAATGGCTTAAAGCCAACGACTTTATGGATTAAGAGTCTTAAATTAGTCAGATCTGTGGTTAGGTTGGTTGACTTAAAGGATTAAGACACAAACTTAGTGGAATTAGAGGCTAATGGAGTACGTCGGGCGTACTCCTGGCTACGCGCAGCATAGTCTGATCCTTCCCCGATGAATGCTGACCCTATTGTACGCCCAACGTAATGAGTTGTACGCTCAGTGTACACGCTGAGTGTTGACTTTTGTTGACTTTGACCATTGGTCAAGTTTTAGGGTTTTTGGACCATGAGAAGGGCAAAATGGTCCTTTTGCCCTTAGAAGGTTTAGCCATGGGATTTGGACTCGCATGTGAGTTTTTGACTTTAATTATTAATTAGGGTTAATTATTTTGTTGACTAGGTGGAGTCTAGATCCGGCAGTTCGGGTGCTAGGTTTTCGTGTCGTCAGTATCAGGTGAGTCTCCTCACTTACTCTAACATGTATGGTAGGATAGTTGTATTTATGATGACTAGTTGGGTCTAGTTGTTATGTTTATGTTATGCTAATTATATGTGAATGAGGCTGCTCATAGCCAACCATGGTTGTTGATAACCCATCGGGCGTGCTGTTAGCCCACTGGGACTACTGATAGCCCCAGGGTTGCTGATAACCTATAGTTGTTTATTTATGTTGTGTTGTATGTGGTATCTTGGGGAACTCACTAAGCTTTGTGCTTACAGTTGTTGATTTATATGTGGCAGGTACTTCTCAGGACCGCGGGAAGGTGAATGTCTGATTGTACACACATGCGCTGGGGAATTTGCTACTGAGATATGTTTATGAACTCTGATAATTATGATACTGGTTGTTTTGAGATAATTATGTATTTTATAACTTGGTTGTGAAACTCTGATTTTGGTAATTTAAAAATGAAAATTTTTGTCTAAAATTTGAGGTGTTACACATATCCTGGCGCTCTACTCGACAAAAGGCGGTCGTGCGGCCATCCACAGAAGCCAAGTACAAGGCTCTCGCCAATGCGGCTACAAAACTCTCTTAGGTTAAAAACTTGTTGGTTGAACTTGGCATCTCGTCTTCTAAAGAACCATTCACTGTGATAATACCGATGCTACCTACCTTTTGTGCAAACCCAGTCTACCACTCCCGTATGAAGCATGTGACATTAGACTATCACTTTGTTCGCGAACAGGTTTCTGCCGGTGCTCTCAAAGTGTGTTATGTTCACACACCGGACCAACCAGCAAATGTCCTCACCAAACCGTTGGATCGTGCATCCTTCTTGAAGTTCAGGTCCAAGATTGGTGTATCCGATAGATCCTCCATCTTGCGGGGGCGTATTAAGGATATACCTTGATATTCTTGACTATACTACTGCTCATTGATTATTGGAGTCAATGATTCTCCTATTCAATGTTTTTCATGTATAGTTCCTAGATTAGTGCACATTCCTGTGTCTATCTCATGTATACAAGTCGATCTGTAACCTTGATATAATACATAGAATTCTTACATTTATACATGTAACATGGGTAAATTAATTTGGGTTGACTTTTAATTAATATAAGACAAACCTTTTATGTCAATATACCACTTAGTAACTCATTTGAGTTGGTGAGTTCAAGAGCGTCAGTTTTTCAGGCAGCCATTGACAGCAGGCTTCATATATAGTTGTGGTTTCAGGTAGCGTCAGGGCATGCTGTAGAGACACTTGTTTCACTGTCGCCTCTCCTGTTAACTGATCGCTGTTGTTTAAATGCATTCAACAGCCAACAGGTAATTAGCTTTATTATTTTAGATTTTAGAATAAACGTTAATATATTATTGTCTTTCAGATCTTCAAACACATGCATATCCTAGAATGACAAAATGTATACAAACGGTTGGATTAAAATTTCAGTCGCTAAATGCATCCCTTTTTAAAGTATGTTGGAATCAACCCCTTGGACCTGGTGCAAAAAGAAAACAGTGTACAGAGGATAAAGAACTTTTCGGGCCAAATTTTCTTATTTTATTCCAAGTGCTATCGAAGGAAAACAAATGAAAGATACGTTCTACTTAACAAAGAAAATGCTACATTGACTTTATGGCCAACATGGCCTTTTGCTTATTCAAATTGAGATAATGGACGAAAATAGCCCTGGCAGTAATTAAAACACTTTCTTTTGAACACGTTGGATTAAATCCATCAAAGTACCTCGTACCCCATATTAGTGGATCATATCTTGTGCGTTTTGTCTTCTTCAGCAAAGTCTGTGTCTTCCTGCACAGTCTGGTGCCTAAAAGCTGAAAAACTATTAGGATCGTCGGTTTCATCCCATGCATGGTTGCCATTCACACTTGGATCAACGCCTACAGAAGCAGCCTCGCGTGTGAAAGCTGAAATACTTCTAGGATTGTCGTATTCATCCCACACATTCTTCCTATTCACATCTGTATCAACCCTTAAAGAATCAGCCTCATGAAAAAAAGCTGACATACTATGAGGATCATCAGATTCATCCCATCGATGGTTGCCATTCACACTTGGATCAACGCCTCCAGAAGCAGCCTCGTGTATGAAAGCTGAAATACTTTTAGGATTGTCGTATTCATCCCACACTTTCTTGCTACTCTCATCTGTATCAACCCTTGAATCAGCCTCATGCAAAAAAGCTGACATACTATGAGGATCATCAGATTCATGCGATTGACGGTGGCCATTCACACTTCGATCCACGCCAACAGCTGATTTACTATTACGATTGTTGTATTTATCCCTCTCATTCTTGCTATTCAAATCTGGACCAAATTTTGCAAATAAATACTCATACCGTTCAGCTGACATACTACGAGTAGAATCAGAATTATCTTTCTTCCATAAACTGTAGCCATTCACCTCTGGAAGACTAGCACCACTGTCATCAGGAAAACTCATTTCAAGCCGGGAGAACAAAGTTTTCTGATTGGGTACTTGTGTATTGGCTACCGAAGTTAAATAGTGTATATATAACCAAAGAGAGAAGTGAAGTCAACTTCATTTATAACATATTTACAAGAAACACCGTTGGCTTTATTATTATGTATATATAAACTACTCCCACTTAACAATCTTAAATATAATTATGATTATTCTGCATGTGCGACCCTTTATTATTTGATGATTGACAATTTTTGCCGATTTTGTTCAAATTAATTATGGCATATCATTATACATAAACATAAATGAATTTTGAATTTATTTTTTAACTCACTTTTAACAATATAGCAGCAATCGGTTAACAAGCATTAACTGATAATCGATGAAGAAACGGACCATGTCAGTGGCGGAACCAGGGTTAAAGTAAAGGAGTATCCCAAACCGATGGGTTCGGTTTCTCGGTTTTTCAAACTCGATTTCGGATTTAAACTCAAACTCATTCGCAAGTTAACTTGTTGAGAATTAAGAAGTTTGTGTTGCTTTTATAACAGATGTATAGGAGTATCCTAAACTTTTCTATCATATGTTTCATGTTATGGTCGATGTGGGACAATTTAATAATTATAAGAAACAAGTTGAACGGATATAGGATAGAAACTGATAAAAAAAAATACACCCATGTCAAGGTCGAGATTCAACATATGGACACCAAGTTAAAAGTTTAGCACTTTACCACTTGTTACTTGTGTTTAATTTTCACAACATCATAATATAAAGGTATAAACTCTGTATAATATTATATTAAATCATTTTCCTTTTATAGAGCTGTGAAAACAAAAGAAATGAAATGTTAGAAAGAAGATTCGAACTTACAACTTCCAGAAAAAAACCCTAACGTCATTACCACCTCTCCAACTATAGCTTTTATTATTATTTCGTTAAATTTATTTATATTATGTATGTATATATACACTACATAAAACAAAAATTTCCAAAAAAAAATACACTACTGAAAAAAAAAATTAAGGGACATTCCGGGCTATCCCGGCTTTACATTGGATCCCCATGAAATATTAACAATATATTAAGGTGTATCGCAGAGGATATAATTTAAAAGAACGATATGAAATACTCAACTTGATGTAATATACAATATTTAACTCTCGATTTTATCAAACATATTTAGTAAAATACAATATGAGGTGTATTGTACAGATGAAATTTAAAAGAACAATATGAAATACTCAACTTGATGTAATATAGAATATTTGACTCTAGACTTTATCAACATATTTAATAAAGTACAATAGTCTTTGGAATTACGATATATATATATATATATATATATATATATATATATATATATATATATATATATATATATATATATATATATATATATAGTTATCTCCTATACTCAAAACAATCTATTTCACACACATTCAAGTGTTCGTTATTGCTTGCGTCGCCTCTAAAGGTATCGTCAGTAATGCCCGGTAACCGTGATCCGTGTGAGTGTTTTTGGACGAACCCCAACCGTTGATTAAAAAGGCAATAGCAGCGACTGGAGTCGCCACTAATACCCCCAAAAAAAAAGCCGTGAACATCCCCCCCCCCCCCCCCTCTAATTAATTCATGTGTCGTCGTTGAAGGTGTTTGCAGTTAAGACCCCCAATTTGTCCTCTTTTCTCCATTTCATGATGATGAGGATTTCACCCACCGTCTGCTCCTTCCTCATTCACAGCCATTCACCAGCATCATCGGAGTTCCACCTTAAGGTAAATGTCCCTACTTATAACCCTATAACGTTCCAAGTCATTTTCATAAAAGGAGATAAAGTCATTTTCAAAAAACCAGAAGTCACCAAAACATTGTTTCACAACATAATATGAAATCAAAGTATCAAAATCAAGTATCTCTCAAAACAGAACAACCACGTGATGATGTGTACATTCACGCATTCGCCTTCCCACGAACTGTCAAAGTACCTGAAAAGCATTTAATCCACAATTGTAAGTCAATGCTTAATGAGTTCCCCAAAATACCTCATACAACAATACACATACAATGAATGCACACATGAGCCTTCAATCTACGTGGATCGCTTTACAAGGCCTGCAGTATGTCTGGACCGCTCTCACGAACCTATAGTCTAACCGGACCGCCCCTTAAGGCCTACAATACAGGTGGACCGCTCCCTTGGGCCTACAGTCTGATTGTACCGCTTCGCAAGGCCTACAGTACACTTGGACCGTCCGGGTATCTTGGTCTACAGCACAAAGCATGACCTCCTCAACCCAACCAAAATATGTCGACATTTACACATAAACAATAACCAGCAAACACATGTAATCATTGACAAATACAAAGCATGTCTAGTTGCTAAAGGATTTCTACAAGAATTTAGTAGAGACTACTTTGAAACCTTTAGTCTTGTCACCAAACCAGTCACCATTCGTACTATCCTATTTATTTCTCTTTCCAAAAATTGGCCCCTCTGCCAATTAGACGTCAACAACACCTTCCTACACGGTACTCTACATGAAGAAGTCTTCGTGTCTCGACCACTTGGATATACACGTTCTCAATTCCCAAACCATATTTTCAAACTACGAAAATCACTCTACGGTCTCAAACAAGCTCATAGATCATGGTACCTCGAACTAGGAAGGTCTATCATTGTAACCCACCTTCTGGCGTTACTCGGACTTGTCACGACTGAAAGAAGCTTGAAATCGATGGTTCCTTTGTTTCCGAACTGGGTTGTGGAAAGAAGTTGACAAAAGGGTATACATTCATTGCCAAGAGAGGCAGCAATGGGTGATTCAGGGCTTTGGTTATGGCTAGAAAAGCCACTTGAGATTTATGTGAAGGAAAATGAAAACCAGCCACCACCAGACAAAGGAGTATACATGAAGAGTCTCTTGTCTCTGTTAAAAAATCAAATCCACCAACACTTAAGACACAGCACCATGTTAAGATTTGAAGATAGTTAGGAAAACCTCCACCCCTACGATGAAGAACCGGGCAGTTATACAGTCAACTACAGCACAACTCACTCTCTGGTAAACAGCTATACGATGTCGTATTATACACCCTTACTACCGTAATTGTATTTCTACTTGCATTTTTCTTCTCAGATGTTTCTGCCACCACATGTACTGCCATATTATGATTCGTATATGTAGCAGCCATCGGATTTTTTTTAGATGTTGAGTGATGAAAATCTAAACGGGTATATGTGTGTTAAAGTGTTTGAGTTGTAGGTTTCCAATGAGTTTATGTATACACATGTATGTGTGTGTGTGTGTGTTTAATTTTCTGTGTATATGGGTTATGTTTAAGTTGCAGATTTTTATTGTGTGTAAATGTGTTTGTATCTGCAATTGAGACAGGTTTTGTGTTTTAATGAATGGAGTAAGAGTATAATGTAATAAAAAAAAGGGTGAGGACAATGTTGGAAGATCGGTTCGCCGAGGAAGAGAGGGGTTAGAGGGCTAGGAAGTCGTTGGGAAGAGGATGAGGACGTCGAGTTTCAAGGGAGAGACTGAGGCGGGTTGTGGGGTCATCTACAATTCAATACTCCATCTGTCCCAAATTAATTGTCCAGTTTTGACGTTTGAAATATTTTTTCTTCAACTTTGACCTAAAATATTTTTATTTGTGTTATATATTACTTGATGAAAGTTATAACAATGAAAAGACATTTAAAATACAATTCATTCATATATTTTTCATCAAGTATTATCTATTAAAAACAAAAATATTTAAGGTCAAAATTGAAGAATGCTTCAAAAATCAAATGTGGACAGTTAATTTGGGACAGATGTAGTAATAATAAGAGTGGCCTTTCTATTATTTGTAATTATAAAATATCAAAGAAATACATAAAATACAAAATAATAATACTAATAATAATACTAATAATAATAATAAATAAGAGAACAAAACGATAATTTCAACTTTTTTTGGACCAAAACCACAAGAATTTCTTGATTTTGAACCTTCAATAAAAGTTTGAAAACCTTTTGAACCCTACACATAATTTTTTGCAAACCACTGGGACCAATTTTATTGTGTCATTTAATATTTTGAATCTGGCCGAACTTACGAAGGAACAGCAATTTGAATATAATAATATTATACTATGTGAATTAGAGTTATTACAAAATTAAAAGTAAAGAAAATATCAAACTGAAAAAATAAATAAATATTAAAATAAAAACACACACACAAAAGCCATTTTAGTCTAGATAGGAAAGAACCAACATGTCTAATGTAGAGGGTGTTTTGGATTTGCTTATTTAACTCCAAAACTTTTTTTTGGTAAAAATGTTTATTGACTTAGACCCGAGGGTGTGGGTGGAAAACTCCACTCACTTTTTGTGATTCACAACATCATTTCTCTTACTTTCATTTCCCTCACATAAACCCAAGGAATGTGTGGGAAGCTTCCATCACTTTCTTTTGATTTTTTTAAATAAAATTAATTGATTTTAATGATAATTAGAATATAAAAGTATAGTGTTTATTTTGTAATTTTTGAAAACTATTTTTGTGAAGAGAATTCAAAACTGGGATGTATTCTGCCATAAGACCAAAACATAGGGGCCAAATATGTCATTTCCAGAAACTTCTCATCTGTCTTCCTTCTTCCTCGTTATAACCTGCAAACTCAAAAAAAACAAAACAAAACAAAACAAATTCCAGCCAATCAGAAAAAGAGAGAGAGTGCGGCAACCCCTCCTCCCCCACCTCCTATCCTGCACCGCCGGTGCGGTGTTCCTCCGAGCAAGAATGTCTCCCACACACCCTTCCCGCTTCACTCCGTCCAGCCTTATAGTGGTAAACGAATTTTTAAAAAAATGTTTGGATTACCTTTTATGATTACAAAAGCCAATAAGTTGTTTTTCAAAAAGTGTTTGACTTATCTTATACATATAAAATAACCAAAAAAGACATGCTTAATATATTTGAAACTATTTACTACTTTACAAACCTCTTATTCCAGGAAAGAATGAAAACGTCTTTTAACTGTTCCAAATACAGGTTGCTCACATATGGACTGTAGACGACTTGACGAATAATGCTTCCAAACAAAAATCAATAGATTTTGCATATGTATGACCATGTATAAGAATTAAGATTACCCAAAAACAACATTTTCAAGCAAATTAATCCAACAATCTGCATCAGGGGCAATTTTTTATTGAACAATCTGAGACAAAATTCGAATAATAACATCCATAAACAAAGAATATAACCTCAATACTTACCTAATGACGAACAATTGCATTTCAAATAGCGCTCAACACCCATGATGCTTAATTCAGGAAAAGAAAAAAAAAAGTACCATTTGTATGTTGTTATCGATCTAGGAGGTGTAATCGGTCAAAGAAAGTGGGACATACAATTTGTATGTTTACTTGATCAAAAAAATAACTTCATATATTTAAAATAAACTGCTTATGTATCCAACTAGGTATATATATTTGAAGATGATTCAACTGCATAGCTTCACTTATGTTACACATAAAACACAGTACAACGTGTTATGTCATGCCATGTTACACACCCCAACTAACCTATGTGGTTACTTGTACTACAAGCAAGCTGATCAAATGGGTTTGTAGGGTGGGTAGATACCCCGAATTCTCTCATTGTCTAATTTCACTAATTTTTCTAACTCACTTCTTGTAAGGTTGACCAAAAAGCAATTATTCATATCATGCTTATTACCCACTAGTACTTGTATTGCATTCTCATATCCTCCAACAACATCACTCATAATGCTTAAGTAAATCTCCATTTCTTCAGTTGATTCATTTGATAAATGTTCCAAATATATTTCATACATTTCCCGTTTTCCATCTGAAACTGTTACCTCCATTTCATCAACAACCTGATCAGGTGTCTGTAAATCATCAATTTCCATATCTCTTTTTTCATGGTCAACTCTGTTGGTCAAATGCATTGCCTTCAGTGAGCTTGTGACATCGTTTATAATCATCATATCATATATATCCTTGGGATCGATAGAGTGTTGTCTGGATAAATGATGTTTAAAAAATATTTAAGAAATGTAAGACATAATTTAAATGAAGGAAATTTGTAAAAAGTTAAAGAGTTAATAGGGAAAGCATCATTCTTTCGGTATTAAGTCGAAGAAAAAACTAGATATAGCTTATCACATTAAGCCATTTGCTAAAAGAATTTCAAAGCAGGCAGCCTATTGATCACTCCTAACCCAGATCCAGATATAATCTAAAATCTATGCGGTTTCAGTACTTTAATTTTCAACATCACTATCCAAACAAACATGTAGTAATCCAAAAAATCTAATGCAATTTCAGAAGTTGACATTAACTTAATATTAACAAATATACTCTTTTAAGTTATGTGAGGATCACGTTAATGTACTTGTACAAATGATCTCATGGGAATCATACAACCAATTAACATGAGAAATTCACACACACACACACAAACACGATTGTCATGTTGATGAATAAGAGATGAAGAAAAAAGAGGATTTAATCTTAATCCATCCAGACAATTCTTTCTAAATTAAGCAAAAACTTCTGAATCAATTTGCTCAATATTCGGGAAGATTTGTCTCAGTGTAGTCAAGTAGTCATGACATATAACATACATCATCAGAGGCATTGCAATTGAAACAAAGTACTTTCAACGAATCAAATTTTACAGTCTTCTTCCACGAAGAAGAAGAAGAAGAATAGAGAAAGATGTAAAGTCGAAGCATTCATGCATCATCATCCTTCTGGGAGTGAAAGATACACAATCGAATCGGATAACAGAGATTTAAAATTGTAAAATGGCCATATGATATAAATAAGGTTTTTAAAGGCAATAGAATAGGAATAGCATTCTATATTCAATTACCTTCTCCACCACGTGCACCGTTAACTGGACTGGATTCCGAGGAAGGAAGTTTCGTTGCCGCCGCGTGCCGGTGGTGAAGGGGTTGAGACCGGAGAGATGATCGATTTATGTGTATCTCTTGTTCTGGGACTGATTCTTTGTGTAAATCCTCATGATTTTTTATGCAAAAAATAAAATTTCCTAAATCTTATTTTGTTTAAGTTAGGGTTTAATGACTGATTTTTTGTTTAACTTAGGTCAAATTGAATTCTAAAAAACCTTTGGATTTTTTTTTTTTTTTTTTTTTTTTTTGGTTTAATGACTGATTTTTTTTTCTCTAGTTTAATGAGATTTCGCATTTTTTTTTTCAAAAAATCACTCTATGTTCCATTAGTAAGTTGCAAATAACAAAAGAAATATTATTTTTAGGTGATTTTTTTAAAAAAAATTCAAACTCTATGGTTAAATTGAAAAGAAAATTTCCAAGTAGTTAAACCAAATAATTTTTAAATTTTCCTTTTATTCAATTCAAAGTTTTATGTAGCGATTTTTTTTGAAAATAAAAACAAATTTTCAATATAAAATAGAAAAAAATAAATAAATAAATAAAAAATAGACGGTTAATAAAAACCAAACTAGAATGGTTTTTATAGAATTTTCACTTATTTAATAAATAACCCTAGTGATGACCACAATAGGAAATTTCCCCCCTCATAAAAAATTAATGCTCTTTTTAACGTCCCCTACTTAAACTTATGAATTTGGCTATGAATACTAATTTTTATGAAACCACTTTAATAACTTTACTTAGTTTTTATAAGCATTTGCTGACATTTTACACACAAAAATACCTCTAGCCCAATGGTGGAGATGGTTGGCATGATTTGCATCTTAAAGGTGGAGGGCTCAGTTTATCCCCCCTAAAATTTTTAGCTCGGGTCAAAAAACCAGACCATGTTTCCCCGCCCATTTGCCCAGATCCGAACACATTGCCCACCCAACTTTGTTTCTTTTACAGTTTTAGCCGAAACTTTAGTTTACTTTTGATTTTGGTTCCGAAAACTTTTTTATTCCATTTCACAATCAAGTTCCACGTTAATTCATAAATGCATCCAGGAAAATAAACCCAAACACAAAAAAGATCACCAATATATTCAGAACCAAAAAATTAATCCATATAAAAAAAATTGCACACTAGTATTTAAGTATTTTCATGCACTCAGATAAAAATGTAAATGAGAATGAATCATTCAGATAAAATGAGCTCCAATCCCTTGCACATCTTCTCAACTTGTGCATCCCTGCCAAAAATTATCATTATCATATTAGACACCTTTCAACCCAGAATTAATCGAGAACTTATGACACCAATAATGTATGTATGTATGTATGTATGTATATTTTAAAATATAAAAAATACCATATATAGCTACCTACCTTTGTTTGAGTTTAATTGTTCCTGTGCCAGTCTGTATTGGTATGCCCATGATAATACATTCACTCACGCCTTCTACCTTGTCCACTTGTCCTTTCACTGCTGCATTAAAAAGGAGATCTGCTGTTGTCTCAAATGACGCCAACATCAGCACACTTTCTTTCATCTTCTGAATCCCAAATCGATTCACCCCCAATACTTCTCCCTGTTACATTACATATTTACATTACATCCACCAACAATTTTATACAGTAAAAAAAACAAAAAAAAGTTATTACCTTATATGTCATGAGATCAGCTAAAAGCATCATATGTCGAATATCTATACTCATTCCATGGCTTTCCATTGTGTATTGGATCTCTTTAATAATCGACCTTCTTGCAGCTTCAATCCCAAGTGTCTCTTCTACTTCTAGAATATGATTACTTGTCGTTTCATGTCCATTCACTCCTTCCGTGCCCATCACCGCTTGGAGCCCCGTCCTGACAGTTTCAATCAAAAATGTCTAAAATACCCCTCTACAAAGGGAATAGTATTCTTTTGTATTGTAAAGTGTAGAGTGTAAAGTGAAAACTAACCCTTCTACAAGCAAGTTAAACTTGTCACGCTCCTTTTTTTTGTTTATCACAGCACGTTCAATTGTGCCAACGCCCTGCCAACAAACCACAAAATAGAAAATTATAATTTAAATTTATTAAATCTAAATGAAGATTATATAGATTTCATCTTGAATGTGACTCACCATCACAATGACTGATGGAAGCTTATTTATGAGCATTTGAAGATCGAAAAGAAGTTTGTTTCTATCACATATAGATGGATTATTCACTTCAAGTTTCCTATCATCCACCACGCGGATATGCTGTATTGGATGTATCCATTACAAATAATTGTTAGCTAATTAATTATATGCAACAACACCTCAACAATTGCCAAAACAAAAATATAGGGATAACTTCAAGAAATAGCAACATACTTTCATTTTCTTTTTCTTATTTAGGTACTTATAAAAATTTACTCAATTGTAGAGAATTGTACATTCACTTTTTTCTTATCAGGAAATAAGATGCTATATATAATAAAGAAATCAATAAAAGTAGGTTGGCAATTCTTACCTGGTCCTTCAGTTTGATTCTGGGAGTCTTTAGTATTGATTCTTTCACGGTTTTTGCATTTATACAGGAGAGGTGTAGTGCTCCAATTGTTTCAGTGTCGAGAGAAATAATAATAGATGCAGATCTTAATCCCATTACAAGCTTTATACTCTTTGCAACCTGCATAAAAGGAACAAAAATATCTCAAGAGATACACACATGTCATAACACTTGTATATTCCATTAACATGTTTGTCTGGCCTCTAGGAAATGAAATACATGTTTTATATTGTATGTATAATTTTGAGCCTACTCTTATTCATTCATTAATAATTACTGAATGAATCTTTCATGAAGAAAATGAAGTATTAGACATAATGAAAAAGGCAGACATTTTAAGAGAAAAAAAAAACTGTAATTTAGTTATCTATCTGAGTGAGTCTGACCTGGCCCAAGAGAGTTCTTTCCATTTTGCCTTTTACCAGCCTTGCAAATGGAATGCTGTCATTACATGTAAGCTTTGCAGTAATGACAGGTGTCCTGATTTTCTTGGTGGCATTTAAGATTTCATTTATACGAGGAACACCAAGAGTCACATCTGTCAAAGAGTTAAGGAGGGAACTATGTGTATGTATGGGTGTCTACAGCATCAATAATACCCAAAATGGTGCATAAAAAGAAAAAAGCAGTAGGAAAAAGGGGGAAAAGTAGCAAAACATAAACACAAAAGCAATGGTATGAAGAAAAGTATGAGGAGAAAAAGGATACTCATGGATGCAACTCCTGCAAAATGGAAAGTTTTCAAGGTCATTTGTGTTCCTGGTTCTCCAATACTTTGAGCACCAATTGCACCAACATTTGTCCCAGGATCAATCTTCTTATTATGGTAACGTGAAATGCAAACTTCCAAAAATACCTAATATTATTTTAACAACAAACAAATCAATCAGTTAATTACAACCTAAATAGATTAGATACCTACTACTTTGATTCTAGGACTAAATGGTCTGTAAGTTTAAAGGTTTGACTGGAAAAATAAAGTATTAGTGGTTAAACCACAGCACTGACAAAAATATAATAGTTTTTTTATTCATGTAAGCCTATCTAATCCTTCTTAACAGAGAATGCAAATAGCAACTAAAAGTCTTTGGTGGAGAGCATGCATAATGAAAAATGATAAACATTTCAAATACCTTGAGCTGCTGAGAAGTGATGCCACATATGCTTTGAGCAACATTTTCTAGAACTAAGGATTCTTCACCATTAAGCACTCTCTTAGTGAATTCTAGTGTTGCAGCTTTTTTTTCAAGAAATTCTTTTAGCTTCCTCCTGAAATCCTCAGAGCAACCTCCTTCTGTACTCATATCATGCATTGAAAGACGCTCATCAACCATTTCACAGATCTCAGTAGGAGACATGCCTCTGTGTTGTCCAGCTGGACATGTAGCCTTTTCAAAATAACAATAAAAAAAACTTATTACATATGAAAACGGATGGAGCAAAAAGTAATTATGATAAAGTGAAATTAGAATGAGAGTATATAAGACCTTGACTTTGTTCAACAACCTATCAAAGTTGAGAGGAAATCCTGCTTTTCCTTCCATTTGAGAAGGGTCTCTTCCATCACTACCATATGTGAACTGAATAATACTTGCACTGGAATCCCTTACTGTGTCATCATAACAGACATACAGATCCTCCATTCCCTTCACCAGTCTTCTAGACATATAACCTGTCTCAGCTGTTTTAACCTGTAAAAGTGTAAATCATAAGCATTACTTTACTTACCCATTTTTCTAGGGTTTGATATGCAAAAACTAGTGCTACCATTCATATTTCATAAACATGTAAAAGGATCCTATTCCTTACAGCTGTATCCACAAGCCCTTCTCGTCCACCCATTGTGTGGAAGAAAAACTCAGTAGCAGTTAAACCGCTATAGAAAGAATTTGCTACAAACCCCTTTGCCTGCATTTGACAAAAGAAAAGAAAATAAAGAATGAAAAAGAACATTAAGAAACCATGCAGAAAGATAGATAGATATAAAGCAAGTGATCATATTAATACTTAAGAAGGAATATGAGAGAAGAAAACATACAGCAGGGGTCTTAGAGTTTGTGGGGAAATGGGGAAGGCTTCGGTCAATAAATCCATTTGGAGCTCGTTGACCTCCAACTGATTGTTGACCAACACATGCAATCATTTGACTAATATTGATAGGAGAACCTTTCGACCCACATTGAGACATAATCAAGGGGCTGTTTCTCCAATGTAGTTTTTCCATACACACCTGTCCAAAAATTTATTGTTTTCCATCAGTGAAACAATCTTCATCATTCGTCTTAACATAACATTCTTGCATTAATAGTTGATAGAAAACAAACAAATGGAGGGAGGTATTTACTATTACCTTTCCAGTTTCATCTCTGATCTTATTCAGGACACCTGTGATCTGAGCTTCAAGGGTCTGAGCAGCATTGCAACCAGGTTGACACTTGAGGTTTCCTTTATTAAAATCGAGTATGAAATTATCACATTTTTTATTCCCTTGAGAAATGATTATGTTTGTGTTGTGATTCAAATTATCCCCAGGTTGAACATCATCAATTCCAATTGAGAATCCATGATCTCCTATCCACCGAGCACTGCATCAAAATAATATCAGCACACACTTCCAGCAAACATTACAACATAGATGATAATCTATAACTATGCTATAACATATGTAGTATAAACTAACTGCATCAGATTGAAGAAACATATGGCAGATGGTGATAGAAAAGTACCTTAGTTTTGCTAAGCGATTCATACAAACAGCAGCAGCAAGTGAATGGTAGTCCCTAAGAAGAACCAAGTAAAGTCCATCCTTGTTGCCATTCCCTGTTGCAATCATATAATAAAAGTACATTCATTGTAATAAGGACACCTTTCTAACATATGTACATTAAAGTATTTGTGAAATTTCTAAAAGATCTGATCATACTCATTTTGAGTTTCAAAATAAGTATTGTCAAATGTCAATCCTATCTGATTTCAGTCTTCTTCTCAACATAACATTAGCATCAAGTGTCAAAGTGATACGGTTGCTTCACTTTAAAAGGGCAAAATGGTAACTTACCACTCTAGTCTCTTGATGCATTTTCATCAGCACATGGTTAAAGTTAAAATTTAATCCATCATCCCTTCTACCTCCTTGAGGGACAATAAGAGTACAAGATAAGTGACTACTGGGAAGTACTCTGTAACCACTCGATCTTTTTAACATTGATTCTAGTAATATACTTATATTTATACTTATATGTTCTAAAACAATAAAGATTACAAGTTTTGAAACAAATCTAGAAAGGAATATAACTTTATGTAGATGATATGTATATATAGCAAGCTGTAATCTAGAAAGAAAACTGACCTAAAGTAGCCTTCCCAAGCTGCCCACTTAAGAGTTCACTATTGCGAATATAGATGTATCCATCATTAGGGCACATTGTCTCATAAGGCTTCACCCTTTCTCCACTTGGCTTAGTGTAACTCTTTTCAGTAACACTGAGATTCAGATAAACTCTCATATCTGCATATGGGCGCAACAACACACTAAACAGCTGTTAACCAGTCCAAAGCTCTATTGGCTGCATAAAAATAAACCAATGTCAAACAAACAAATTGCATATAAGCAAATGTAACAAAATAATTGGAGCAAGTTGTGTTATTTATCTTGCCTTACGAATAGCAGGTGTTGGCAAATCAATGGGATCGTTTGCATCACCCATATAACAACAGATAAGTGCAAACAAAGCACGATCATAGAACGTGTCCTTCCTTGTTATAAGAAAAGAAGTTGTCAAAAAATCTTGAGTGGATGCAACCAAAATCTCCCCATTCTTTGGTGTGCATAAATTGTGTTGCACCTTCATGATTCAAAAAAACAAACGTTTAGTAATATGTGATATGATAAGTTGATAACTAATACAATGCAGTAAAAGTGCATATGATGATATGAAGATTACCCCCATTAGCATAAGAGCCTCTGTTCGAGCCTCTTCTGTTTGTGGAACATGAATATTCATCTCATCACCATCAAAATCAGCATTGTAAGGATTGCAAACAGATTCATTGAAGCTAAACGTGTTCCAATGCTTAATCTTTGCCTACATACATACACATACCAAATCATGAGATAATAATAACAAAAATTTTAATGCAGAAAAGTTTCATTATACTCAATTACTCACCCTATGAGACATCATTGACATACGATGCAAACTGGGTTGTCTATTAAAGAGGACAATATCACCATCTTTTAAATGGCGATCAACTATGTCACCAAGTTTCAACTCCTCAGCCAAACGCTTTCTAGCATTAAAACGCAATGACCTACAAAAAGCATTACATATCATCAAACCAAAATTCATTTTTTAATCAGAATTCATCATAAGTTCATAACACTTGAGAACAAGCAATCCTTACTTACATGATGCTACCATTTGACTTTCTTAAATGGTTTGCACCAGGGTATACATAAGTTCCATTACGGATAGCACGCTTCAGTCTCTCTATATTGTGATCTGAAACACGCTCAGGGTAACTTAAAGTCATAGCCACTTTGATAGGAACTCCAACCTGGAACAATAAATACTCTCATAAAAAAGAATTCAAGAAAAAGAAAAATGGGGAAGCAAGTGAGTGAGAGTGAGTAACCTCTGTAATCTTTAGATTAGGGTCAGGGGAGATAACTGTCCTTCCAGTATACTCAACACGTTTCCCAGATAAGTTTTTCCGAATACGCCCCTGCTTGCCTTTTTGGCGTTGAACAAGACCAGTAATTCGTTTTCCATTCTGCTGAGATGAATCTGATACACGGACATCACTGTTTACATATTGTGCAACACTAAGTTGCAGATTATCCCATAAAACACCCTGCAACAACATCATGAAAAGGAACATCTGGATTAATAGTCTAGCTAATCTGCTTCAACACTTCACAACAGGGTATCAATGAATAAACAAAACAGAAAAAAGATTAGTTAAGAGGGATAATAAGATTAAATAGAAATAGAAAAACAAAACAGTACCAAGCTTTTGTTATGGACACTTGCTCCTGATAACGCCTCATGAACAGATGCATTGGCTCTTATAATTTCTGCCAATCTCAATGTAATGTCATTCTCATTGCTGCAACATAGAGGAGAGAAAAGAGAAGATAAATAGCAGCTTAATAACAAAAAGAATACAAAAAGAAGAAACCATATTCCAAAAATATGTAACCTACTTAGATACAAAAAGGCAAAACTTGTATTATGAATTGGTGAGTTGGACCACAAAGGAAGTTGCATAGCTACACCAATCACTAAAGGTACAAGGCCAATAATTGCAGAAGACTATGTCTACTACAGCCTCTAGGAGGGCATTAAATTATGCAGTTGCAATAAAACATGCCACCATACAATATAACAATATCCAAGTCCCATAAGAACAAGGGTAAGGGGGAGGTAGACAATGATGTTTGACTAAAGAAAAAATAGATACAAGCAATAAAGCTGAGCAAAGTGGGGCAAGGGTAAGCAGGTAAATACGCCACTACCCTGATTTTAAGCCTCCACACACTCCTATATGAGGCCATGGTATCATACAAAGCACAAAGCAAATCCTTCACAATACTACAATAGTATAGAAAAGCTCAAATTCAGCAAGAAATTTGTAATTGAAGTGCACCTCATTGCTCCACCAGCAACTGGGACAGAAGGACGAATACATATAGGAGGCACGGGAATGATGGATATAATGAGCTTCTCAGGTCTATCAGCAAGATAAAGCAATTCACAATCCTGTAACACAATAAAAAAAATAAGTAAACATCAACAACTGTAAATAACTACTATTTATGTTGCAAGTTCTCTCCAAAACAGAAAGGATTACCAATGATAGCCCATTCCAGTTTACATGCAAGAAATCATTTTTGAGACAGAGGAAACAGAAGTCAACTAGAGTCATAGAAGGTAGAAAAATGTACCTCATCCAGCATCTTCTTAAAAAGCTTAAGAGCTTTGTCAGGGCCTACAGAAGGTGACAATTTGGCAGGTGTATTCGACCCCTTCAGGTAAATAGTATCATCGAACTCATTTGAGGTAGTATTTTGAACTTTGCTTCGATCATGTATGACTCCTACTGTTCCCACAGCCTTTTTCACTGTGCCTATAATGTATTATAAATGAGCATTAACTTACATGTATTTTCTAAATAAAAGAATTATGGTATATTTAGTGGTAAAATTGATGGTTATATAAACTTGTCTTCGTGTTCATGAATAAGAGACAAATAGGAACAGGGAAAAGTTTATTAAGTTTTTATGTGAGGTAAACAAGACACAGAAACTTAAAAGATAATAAGATACAGAAATAGGGTAAGTGTCGAACCATTTACATAATGACATCTTGAGCATATCACCACCTTCTTACTACTTGCCATAGCGGTACACCTTTTAACTACCTGCTTATAAATTCCAGTCTTCCTCAAATGGTCCAAATTTGAATTTCTGATCCTCTTTAAGAAGTTTACACGTTCTGTCTCCACCAACAGTATGCAGGAACAAAACTGAAAAGGAAAAACCATGTAAATGGGAAAGGGATGGGTAAGGGGAAAAGCAAACATAAATTGCAGCTACCATACCTTGCATATGCACTTCAAAATGTCCACAACATGAGACATATATCCAACATTATAAACTGGCAGCACAAGTGGCAGGTAGCCAAAGTGACCAGGGCAACTATGAAAATCCCCATGGCATGTCTCACATGTACCGAGCTTGTTTGTAGGACCCTGAGATACCAACAAAGATGCCTTTCAGAACCTCACACACAATATGAAGTAAAAGTAGATTAATAATACAGTAAGCCAAGAGACCTAGAAAAGATGTAGCATAAGGTGAGAAGCAAAGACATACCCACATAGGTTCTTATTCAATTCAAAGAACCCATATAAATCAGAAGATGAAGAGATGAAAACAACCTGTACAGTTCAGGTGGCAAGGTCCTTGGACAACAGGACATCTTTTCACAGGCCTGACAAACAGAAATTATGATAGTAATACACCAAGTACTAAAATAGCCACCTTTTCAACACTAAACCCTCATTCATAACTTAAACATTAGTGTTTATTTCAAAACTCTTGCTATTTTCATCAGTTAATAAGTTGTGTACTCTTCAAATCCCCTTAGTATAACACGCAATAATATCCTCAATTCTACCACTAACAATTACATATTTCATCCGCAAAATGGGATCTGATTTCAAATTGCAGGTAGTGATCAAACCATCAATCAATTACAGTTAGAACAGATGACATAACATGTATGCAATGCAGAGCAAAACGAATTACCATGTGCGCATCCAACACACCATTATCAACAGGCCTTTTGTCCTCTTGACTCACATAATATTGGGAACGAGAAACCTGAACTTCCCCCAGTTTGAGAACATCCTCGCCAGAAAACATTGAGAATTTAACGTCCTTGCTGTTATCAAATCAAGCATTGAGCAGAATCAGTATGATTATTAGCAATCGAACAATCGAAAATAGTGTGAAATGATTAGGAAAACTCTTACATCCTTCGGGGGCCAACATCTACGACATAAGGTTGTTTCGTGAATGTAAGGGTTTTGTCAGCTTCTCCTCTATTTTCATTCATCGCATTTGCCATAGATCATAAGTTGAACGATTTGGTTTTGCAGTTCGTTCGAGCAAGGAGGGGTGAGTTAACAGATTAGGGTTTTTGAAAACGGGGGTTCTAAAGTAAAATCTGAACGAGAAAGTTATAACTTGGCACGAAAGTAATTAAGAGGTGATCGTATCTTTCATAATTGTGTAGCGGGCTAGCGGCTGCATGCAAATAATATTATATTTGCATTCATCAATTAGTTTAATATCTTTCTTAAAGTTTAGTTTTGGGTAAAATAAATGATCATCGTATGTTCTTATTTGAAAACGAGAAATTCAACTCGGTAACATAATTAAACCATAATTCTCCGAAGAAACAAAGTTACACCCGAAAAAATATACATTACCTGCATTCGTACACGATATGTAATTAAAACCTGGACTTTATACGGACTTAATCAAAATACCATTTTAAAAGCATCTCCAATCCATTCTCATTCTTCATTATTTCCCTCATTTCTTTACACATTCCTCTTCAACCCTACCCCATTTATTCCCCCATTTTGGAAGAAATGAATAGTATAACACCATATTTGGTGTTATACTATTCATTTCCCCCAAAATGAGGATGAACTTTGAGTTGTCGGTTTTAGTCCCTCGTTTTATATATTTATATATTTCTGGTTTTTTTACTTACTAATTATTATTTAAATGTAATATTTAATACTTATAATATTGTGTTATATATTAAATCTTCCCTAATAAATGAAAATAATTTTGTCAAATGTCATATTGTCATTGAATTTGACACATGTAATTTTCTAAGAGTTTTTGAATTAGTTTTTTTCCACTTGTCATTTTCTTATATTTTTCATTTTCATAAATTTAAAATCCACATTTTAGTAAGATTTATATATGTAAAGTAGGTCATTCTATTTAATTTCATAATAAACGTTCTATAAATTGCGAGGCTCTCCTAACATTCTTAAAAGACTGAAACAACAGACTTGCACAACATTTGACTACTTGAGAATTTTTATTTCTAAACTAAAACTGAAATTAAAAATCAGAGTTGTAATTGTGATTGATATCATTAACGTGTAATATAATAGGAATATATAATAAATATATTTACACTCTAATCCTTATACTATAATACATATCTAATATTCCCCCGCAAGCTAAGGTCGGGTAAGAACTTGTAGCTTGGATCGTAACCATTCAAATCTTTGTGAAGATAGTGACTTAGTGAATATATCAGCAATCTGGTCATCTGTGGATATGAACTGTACTAAGAGCTTTTTCGCAGCAACCTTTTCTCTTACGAAGTGAAAATCGACATCAACATGTTTCGTACGTGCATGGACCACATGATTAACGGATAAATAAGTGACACCACGATTATCACACCACAATATCGGTGCTTTGGTTACCGGTATGCATAGCTCACGTAATAGTGTTTCAAGCCAAGTAACTTCAACAACAATGTCAGTTAGAGCTTTGTATTCAGCCTCAGTAGATGACCAAGAGACGGTCTTCTATTTTCTTGCTGACCAAGAAACTAAACTGGAACCAAGATATATGGCGTAACTGATGGGTTTGAGCCAAAAGAACATCTTATGTGCTCATGTAAACCCTAATACTTGGATCTAGGTTTCTCTATTGTACATGTAATTCATCCAAGTCTTGCAAACCCTAGATCTAGTGTATATAATTCGAAATTAGTATAACAAAACAGATCTAGATGATTACCTCTTCTTCAAAGCTTGAATCTTCTTGTCCTTTGAGCTTAGAGTCACAAATGTCACTCCTCTAATGGCTTACAAACACCACAAGCAAGTGAATGATCTTGGAGAGAGGTTGGAGGCTATAGAATTCGGCTCTAGTACTCTTAGGAATAGGTTTAGCCGATTTCTGAAGCCTAAGGGGTCTATTTATACTTGTGCTGCTAGGGTTTCAGTCAAAACCCTAATTGGATAGCTTAGGCCTTAAGCAGTCCACGAAACCTTCCAGAATAAAGGCCTTGGACGAAATTTAGATGGGCTCCCACTCTAATTTCGTCCACCCCTTAATTCCATAAGGATTCTCAGCCCAAATCAACTATCACACAATTTACAGTTCCAGTCCCCTTTATTTAATTAATCTCTTTTAGCCACAGAATTAATTCCTAATTAATTCTTATCTAATATTAATTAAACTATATGATTTCTTCTTTAATATATTATTCATATAACATATAAATAAATCATAATAACATCTTTATTCATAAATCATCCTATCATGTTGCTTTGGTGAAGGCAACCCAAAAGGACCATGCACAACCGGTTCAAATACTTACCACATATAGTTACGGGCTTAGACACTAATCCAACAGTCTCCCACTTGGATAAGTCTAGTAACTACAAATGTAAATACAATCTGATTAGCAATCGTAGCTCTCAAAGACGTTGTCGAACTCTGATCTTATCAGCAACCAGTCTTTTAAATAAGGGATCGTATAATCCTCTGTTCTAGATATCGTGCGGACAATTACATGGAACATAGTCATACTTATTGTCCAGCAGTTTGTTCTCGATCTCTGATTCGTCTGACATAGAACTTAATTGAACACATCAATTCAATCCTGACCGGGCCCGGCACATAAGTCAAAACAAAATCATCGAGGGGCCCTGATATCGCTTTTACCCTCTTAGGATAAAAGGAACAAATAAACTTCGACTTATATGCATTTACTATTCACTAATCAAATCATACACAACAATGTGTTTTATAACATCAAGTTATTGATGCGTTTACGCATTATCAATGCACAACCAATTAGTAAACAACAAACCATATATCTAGGTTTTAAGACCATATGATATTATCGTCTTGCGATCACTCGTGATAAATTCCATGAAGTGATTCCAGCAAGCACGGGTCTAATCCAATGCTCAAATCAAACTCATAAGCACTCATGAACGTTGTAGCAAACCTTTGCTATGTCTAATACACTGTAGACAATCTAAACACCAATTCATGACAATCTTCTTTCATACCTACTCCCAAAATATGAACGATTGTGGAACATTCGAATAATCTTATTATTCAGGAAGTCAAAACATGCAAAATGAAACAATAGGTAAATAATCAACATAAAACAGTAACATTACTTATAAATAATACTCTTTTATTTAATCATCAAATGTCAATTACATTTATCTATTACATGTTTCTAAACTATCTAATCTAAACTAATATTGTCCTTCAGCCCGATGCTCCTAGCGTGCTGCAAGTGCTTAACCCTACTCAGTCCCTTCGTAAGGGGATCTGCTGGGTTATCCTCCGACGATACCCTCTTCACTACGAGGAGTCCTTCTTCCACCCGATGTCGAATAAAGTGATATTTTCTGTCGATATGTCGAGATCTGCCATGATCCCTCGGTTCCTTGGTCAAGGCAACCGCTCCTTCATTATCACAGAAAATTTCCATGGGCTCCTTTATGGCTAGCATAACTCCAAGGTCTCGATGAAGTTTTTCAACCATATCGCCTCCTTTTACGCTTCGCTCGCCACTATATACTCTGATTCGCATGTTGAATCAGCTACGATCTCCTGCTTGGAACTTTTCCAAGTCACTGCTCCTCCATTTAGGGTAAAGACCCAGCCCGACTGCGAACGGTAGTTGTCCCTGTCGGTTTGAAAACTGGCGTCACTATACCCTCGCACCCTTAAGTCATCACTCCCACCGAGTACTAGAAACCATTCCTTGGTCCTCCGAAGGTACTTAAGAATATTCTTGACTGCGGTCCAATGCGCTTTGCCAGGGTTCCCTTGATATCTACTGACCATGCTCAAAGCGAAGGCCACATCAGGGCGAGTACAAGTCATAGCATACATAATCGAGCCAACTGCGGAAGCGTATGGTACTCGACTCATTTCTGCTATCTCGACTTCGGTTCGGGCTTTGAGTCTTACTTAATTTGGCATTACTTTGGATTGGTAACTCCCCCTTCTTTGAATTCTCCATACTAAAACGTTTTAGTACCTTGTCCAAGTAAGTATTCTGACTAAGTCCTATTAGTCTCTTACTTCTGTTTCTCACTATCCTTATTCCCAAAATATAGGCAGCCTCTCCGATGTCCTTCATAGCGAAGCACTTCCCAAGCCAGGATTTAACTTCCTTCAGGGTTGGGATGTCGTTTTCCTATGAGTAGTATGTCATCGACATACAATACGAGGAAGCTTACTATACTCCCACCGGCTTTGACATATACACACGATTCATCCTCGCTTCGCAGAAAACCAAACTCTTTGTCTTTCTCATCAAAACAAAGATTCCATCTGCGAGATGCTTGTTTTAGTCCATAGATGGACTTCTCAATCTTACACACTCTATTGGGATGCTTCGCATTGACAAAACCCTCTGGCTGAGCCATGAAAACATCCTCAGCCAACTTCCCGTTAAGGAAAGCGGTTTTGACATCCATCTGCCATATTTCATAGTCATGAAATGCAACAATGGCCAACATTACCCTGATAGACTTTATCTTCGCAACTGGTGAGAAGGTTTCATCATAATCAACTCCAGGAGTTTGAGTGAAACCCTTCGCAACCAATCGCGTATTATAAGTGTGCACATTCCCATCCATGTCGGTATTCTTCTTAAAGATCCACTTGCACCCGACCGTCTTACGACCTGGCACATTGTCAACCAAATTCCAAACTTGGTTGTCATACATGGACTGAATCTCGCTGTTCATAGCCTCTTTCCATTTTGCAGACTCCGGGCCTACCATGGCTTCCTTGTAGTTGTTAGGTTCGTCCAAATTCACTAGTGTACTATCACTAATAAACGTATCACCCTCACTCATTATATGAAAACCATACAACACGGGCGGAACACTAACTCTACTGGAACGTCTAAGAGGTAAGGACTCGTCAATCGGTTCAACCGGAGTTTCCTCCTCGGGTTGAGCGCCAGTGTTGGAGGTTCCTTCATCGCTAGACTCTTGAAGTTCTTCAAGATCGATTTTCCTCCCACTATCCCCTTGGCTTATGAGTTCTCGCTCTTGGAAAACCCCTCTCCTCGCAACGAAGACAACATTGTCACTCGGTCTATAAAAAAGATATCCAAAGGACTTTTGAGGGTAGACGATGAAAATACATCGCTCAC